ATCAGGTGCAAACCTGCATGGTTCAGACACAGCGAGTCTGTGGGAGAATCCCTGTGCATTTTCATACCCTGTGCTTGTCTGGGTGAAGGAAGAGCACATCAGCATTTTCCAGAGCTTTCAGAGATGGGGCAGCCACAGCTTCTCCAGGAAACCTGTGCCAGGGCCTCCCCACCCTCACAGGGAAGAATTCTTTCCCAATGTCCCATCTAACCCTGCCCTCTGGCAGTGGGAAGTCATTCTCCCTTGTCCTGCCACTCCAGGCCTTGTCCAAAATCCCTCTCCAGCTCTCTTGGAGCCCCTTTAGGCACTGGAAGGGGCTTTAAGGTCTCCACCCTGGAAGTGTCCAAGGCCAGGTTGGCCAGGGCTTGGAGCAACCCGGTCTAAGTGGAAGGTGTTCCTGCCCATGGCAGGGGGTGGAATGGGATGAACTTTGAGGTCCCTTCCAACTCAGACCATTCCATGGGTCCAGGATTGCTGTGTGAGGCCCCTCTGCACTGTCACTTCATGAACATTCAGCTTGATCAGCTGCAACCTCAAATCCCACTGAGGTGGGTGGTAAATTCAGATTCCTTTTGGAACACAGCAAATGACATTTCCCTTGCCCAGGGAGCAATCCCCCAGGGGCTTGCAGACAATTATTAAAGTGGGGGCCCCACTGCTCGAGCTCAGGACTCGAAAGTTATACAACATTTGGTGATGTTTGAATTGGCTCACAACTGCCAAATTTTTTTTTTTTTTTTTTTTTTTTTTTTTTTTTTTTTTTTTTTTTTTTTTTTTTTTTTTTTTTTTTTTTTTTTTTTTTTTTTTTTTTTTTTTTTTTTTTTTTTTTTTTTTTTTTTTTTAGAGCTTTGTGAATTAAAGTAATTATAATTCCCATCTTAATAACTGCTGTGGATTTACAGCACCTGGTCGAGGAGCTGGCTGGGTGCCATAGGCAGGGCAGCTGAAGGAGCTGGTAAAGCCTGGGATTAAGAGTCAGGGTGGGGAGAGAACGCTGCTGAAAGGAGAGAGGACGTGCTGGGACTGGCTCGTGGTGGGAGATGTCACCCCAGGTGGAGCTGCTGGTTCTCATCCTGGTGACACTGCCACGACCCTCAGAGCAAACCCTCCCTCTGCTCCTGCCCGCAGCGCTACGTGGACGGGGGATTCACCGGCCTGCAGCCCGTCTCCAGCCTGGAGGAGCCCGTCATCACCGTGTCCCCCTTCACTGGAGAGCTCGACATCTGCCCGAGGGACTGCCCTGCCATCTTCTTCTGCTTCCAGATCTTCAACGGCAGCGTCCAGATCTCCATAGAGAACCTCTGCAGGATCAGCTACGCTCTCTTCCCGCCCAGCACCATGGTGAGCCCAGCAGGGCTTCTCACAGCTTTGTTGTGGTTGAAAGAAATTAATTCCTCCACTAATTAATCATGTTTCAAAGGTAGGGGAGAGCACCAACTGTTACCACGGGACATTATTTGGGGTGGCCAACCTGGGGTGGGTGTGACCACCTTGGGGTGGGGGTCCACAACCTGCAAAGGACCAGGTGGACTGAGATGATCTCCAAGGTCCCTTCCGACCCAAACCATTCTGTGATCCCATGACTGGTGTTTTGGTGGCTGGAAACCCACCTGTGCTTGCTGCCTTCCCAAATGGGCCATCCCCGCGACCCTCCACGGTCAAACAGCTTTGGATAGACCCTGCACTGCCTGGACTGGGGCTCTTCAGTGACCTCAAGTCTTTCTCCTTGCAGGTCTTGAACGACATTTTCTCCCAGGGGTACCAGGACACTGCCCTTTTCCTGTACAGGAACAGTAAGTGCCACCCCAAGACCCGATGGGCGGCCTCGCAGCGAGACAGACCCAAACATCAGCCCTTTCTCCCCCCACAGATGCCTTTGGATTTAACTACTTCGATGGGAATTTCCGCTTTGGCAGCACCTGTGGGAAGAACAACTCCACCCAGTCTGAGGGGACACACTCTGGCCTGTGTAGGAGGGTCCCTCAGAGGCTGACCCCTTGCTTCCTGCCAGGTAGAGGATTTGGGGTGCTGAGCCTGGGTTTGGGGCTGCTGCAGTCCTCCAGAGGAGCAGTGTTATCTTTAAGGCATTATTGAGTTATTTATTATAGTAAATATTTCTACATCTGCAGTAGCTGCTCGCAAAGAGGCTTTATAAGAGTGGCTCCAGCTGGGCTTGGGCGTGGGCTTAAGCATCTACCTGAGCTGCAGCTGGACAAGAGGAATTCTTGCATTTATTTGGTTATTCCTGTTATTTATTATTTCCTTCTGTGTTGTCGTTTATGGGCACAGGCTTGTGGAAGAAGGAGCAGGTGAATGGACTGCAGGATCCCCTGACCAGGATCCTGCTGCAGCCATACAGGCTCCCAGCTTTATTCAGGAAGGGGTAAGAACATCCTGAGAGAGGCATCAGACAATGACACACGAGCCAGGGGTGGTGCCTTCAGCAGGGGTGAGGCAACTGAAGGGACACATGAAGGGATTTAGTGTTCCCTGAAGGCAAACTCTCTGGGAGACAGGGAATGGCTGGTGGGAACATCAGAGCATCACTTGGTTGTGGGAAAGGTTATTACAGTGTGCATTTACCATTAGCACCTTTCCCTGCCTTTGCCCATCGTTAAACTCAGCCTCTTTTATTTACTCTTGCAGGGTGAAGAAGGTGTGGGGGCTGCTGGAAGGTGTCACCTCCCTGGCACAAGGATTCCACAAACTCCTGCAAACCTTGGTGCCTGCTTTGCCCAAGAGAGCTGCGGACAGGAGGTGAGAAATCCAGGGAATAGAAACCCTCAGCAAAGGGAGAACAGGGAAAGGGTCCCTGATGCTGAGCATGGCTAAAATCTCCAAATCTGGAGCAGTCCACATTAAAAGTAGATATTTTTTCCCCCCTGTGACATTATATTGATATACCAAGGGAGCTACAAAACAACTTAGTGCTGCTTCCCTATTGCAATATATTCATGTTCAAGATATTTACCTGCCGGGCTTTGTCCTGGCAGGACATCAGGAACATTCACCAGGATCCTGAGAGATGTTTTGGCACTAAACCCTCAAGGATTTGAGGCATTTAACTTGTCACACCGACAGCTCTGAAGTCACATCTGCCCAAAACCCGCTCGCAAGTTCCTTCATGAGCAGCTGGCGAGGACACTCCACACAGCTACAAACTGCTCAGCTGTGAGAAAGCCCTTTGGTGTCAAACACCCCTGGGGCTGCTCATCCCTGTGGGTCTGTGGATCCTGACCCAGCTGTCCCTTTGTTCCCACAGGTAACTGGCCTGGACGGGCCCTGGGGGTCTCCGAGTTCCTCTGCCTCGGGAAGGGATGGGTGAAACCAGAGCTCACCTCACACTCCAGCACAGCTGCTGCTTTGCTATGGAATATTTTGGGGGGTGGGTTTTTTTTTTTTTCGCTTGGGAGCTGATTCTGCCTCCTGTGCTGCTGCTGCCCCTTCTCAGGCCTGACCTGCTTTAACGTGACAGCCGAGGCAAAGCTCTGGTGCTGCTCCTGTGACCCACCACAGGCTGCAGGAGCCACTGGGCAGCTTCACCTGCAGCCACCTACACCCCAGAGCCTGCTTCCCTCCCCTGTCTCCTTCCTCATCACCAGCAGCATCCCCTCCCTTCCTTTAATGCAGATTACAGGGCAGGAATTTGTCATGAAATGCCACATTTTAAGTGTTTTCATCCCACTCAAGAGCAGTTTCATCAGAGCAAAGGAGAAGCCTTAGGGAGCATCACACTGGGTAGGAAACCAATTTTTGTCCAGTTCTCT